AATATGTTTATGAGCAAGGGTGTAAATGTAAATGGAGGAATGAATGTTCTGCAGCACAGTAGAAGAACTATGGCTGACAATTACTTGACTATTTTAAAATAAATAGTAGAAAGCATTTTAATATTGTAAATACAAGGAAATGATAGATGTTTGAAGTGATGCATGTGTCACACTATACCTATAAATATATGCAATTAATATGGCAATGACAACTAAAATATTTTAAAGGTCAGTGCAGAATCTTAAGACAATGAGGTGCTTCGTTAGATAAACAATGGGAAGCCAGACAAGATTTTAGCAAAGATGCTATGGTAAAAGAATAGCTTTTGTTTTATGTAGAGGAACGTAGGTGACAGTTGTAACAGTACTGAGGATGAGATTTGAGGGAACCTTGAAGAAAAACAATGTGCAGTTGAGTGAGGATAATGACGACAGACAGGAATGGAAAGAGAAGCCAGCTGTGAAAGACATGGTGGAGAGAGATTCGTGCCAGGTTGATGATGGAGTGCAGAGAATGAAAGGCACCATGGATAAGATCACTTGTGGGATAAGCATTGCCTTTGAGGAGGTTCATAAGTCAGTTTAATGAGAAAGTTTAAGAAGCAGACATAGATGACTTTGGCAAGATTCAAAAAGATGTGTGCCCAGTTTTGTAGGTTATTGCTGGAGAGACTGTTTTTTTACAGGATGGGAAATTAAGCATGATTTTAAATGAAAGATTAAACAAGTAGAAGGACTGAAGATATAGGTAAAACACAAAAGTGGTGAATTATATATAGTTAATAAGAATATTGTGATTTATTATAGTCATAACAAACTTCTAATCTTCTATTAATAAGATATTAAGAAACAAGTCTAAAAATGAAATAAGGAGAACCAGAAATAAACTAAGCATTTGTCATCTTTACTTACAAGACATTTAGCATATACAGATAAGGGAGTGATTGAAAACAAAGACTATTTCTCTTCATTTCTACTTTGTATATCCACCTATGTGTAAGTGCGTATACATGTTGTATTTGTATATATGCTACCTGTTCTCCAATCACACATATTTAGAGATGGATTTAGTGACTTATCCTGAGCTTCAAGCAAGCAAATAAGAAAGCAAGTTTCAAAATGTTTTCCAGCTTCTACTCCAGCATTCTTTTTTCTTATTCATAGCAGATTCCTATCTGGACATAGATGTGTCTGGAAAGTCTGGCTGCTTGTAAGCTACGTGTATCTCTTCATAACAAATTTACCTTGAAATCTCATCTAGCCTCATAATTTAAATTTTTATATTGTTGGATTTTTATCTCAATTTTCTTTTTGGCTGAAACTTTGAGTTGCTCAGTTTTCTGTCTCAGTAACAGTAAATTTTTTTAATAATAATTTTTTTAATTATTATTAACTGTGTCAGTCGTTTACAAGAGCTAGGACTGTAGCACACATAAATTTTGTTTATGGTACTAGCATATTAGAACCCACAATGAATGTATCCACACAGAGTGAGTGCCTTGTTTTGTATTGGAGACATAAGCGGAAGGCTTTAAGTCACGTAGTAGATACCAGAGGTGAGCCTGGAACCCATTCCTGGTTAATCAGTATCAGCCTTATTATGATCCCTCTTCTCAGCTCTAAAATCAGTCAGATTTTGTGTTTACAGGCAATCCACGGTTTGGGAGCTACTAGAGAATAAAATGTGCTGAGAACTAGTAAAGATGCTGATGCAAAGTTACAATCACTGGTCCACGTGCACTGTTAGCCCTCCTATATGTGGGTTCCACACCCACAATCTAACCAACTGGGAGTTAACAACAGTTGGGGACATGTTGTGTTTATATTGAAAGTGTATAGTATTTTTCCCTGCTTTATTCCCTAAGTAATATAGTGTAATGACTATTATTTAGTACTTACATTTTTATAGTTATTGTAATTTGGAAATGATTTAAGTATACCATCAGATATGTTTGGGTTACATGCAGAGAGTATACGATTCTATGTAACAGATATGGGTATTCACAGATGTTGGTATTTGAGGGGTGCTGGAACCAAAGTGCCAGGTGTAATGAAAAATTACTGTATGCATTTTTAAAGTACCTATGAAGCAATGTCCTCTATTGGAGTCTTAATGATTCAGTAGAAAAACATAAGAAAAGTATAACAAACTCTGTAATAAAAACTGTAACATTCAAATTTAACCAAATGTACCTGCCTTTATCTTCAATCTTACTTTGGAATCCCAGGCCTGTCGTTGAATTTATACCTGATTATCTTGCCTAAATCATAAATTCATTGCATCACTTTCTTTATTTTAGGAAATAAGTACTCTCTTGCTTAACTTAGTCAGAAATCACTTGAGTTTTAACAACCAATAATTTTAATGTTAAGTTATTTTGAGGAACTGTTTTGTTGTAATTTTAAAATGGTAAAGAAATTCTACTTTTAAAGACTATTTTGCCCAGGGCATGCACAGGAAGTGTTACAGCACTTCCTTAAGTGCTTAAGAAAATAAAAACTGAAAAGTTAACTTTGATATATTAAATTGTATTATTCCTACTACTTCTAATATTGAGAATTTTGACCCTAAAATAACATTTTGCTGCTAATTTAAACTCAGAGATCTTTTAACACAGAGCTCTTATCCTAAAAGACGTTCATCATCAGTAATAGTTGCACTCAGATGAAAGTGTAATACTTCACTATTTATCAATAATCAATATGAAATGTAGTTAAGCAAATTATCATATACATTGCCTTCTATTGGATGAAAACAATAAAAACTAAGACATTTACCAAAAGCAATAATCCTCAGAATCATTCCATCACTTCAATCGAGGGAAATTAAGTTTAAAAGTCAAAATGATTATAGTTTATTGATTTCCTTAGGCTACTGAAAAGTAAGTGTGGCCCTGTATTCTTTTAGGCATGAAACGAAATATCGAACTCTGCCCTTCAGGCATACTACCATACTTTAAATGCTGATCTTATCACTGTAGGCAAATCAAACAGAGTTGGACTTTAAAAGGAAGCAAGGAAAAGCCCGCAGCCACTGGGAAGCATCAGGGGTCAAGCTGTTGCTCTGGATCTGATCACAATTTTCCCAGGGTCACAATGCCACAGGGACACTTGGCTTCCATCTGGCATTTTCCAACAAAAATGCATAACCAGAATTTGCAACATAACATAGAAGAGCCATATTTTGAAATTTATTCTGTATTCTATTTGGCATCTTCCTGCTTCAATAGGCTAGTCCCATGTCTCTGCTACTTTAAGTTTCTATGAAATAATAAATAATCTTAATAAGTTATAAAATAATAATTCCAAAGAGCATTGTCAAAAAAGAAGAGGATTTTCTCACATGTTTATGTGTTGTCCACATCCTGTGTTACTAGTTGTTCATTTTGCAAAAGTCGTAGAGTGTATCAGTGAGAAACGGGAATTGAATGCTTCCCAAACAGCCCACAGAATAAGGCTAAAAGTTAATTAACTAAACAATATTTGTTTGCACCGATGTCCTGCTTTCTTTTGCAAAACTTCAGAACTTTCCATCTTTGGTTCCCAGATACTAACTGCCTGTGGGTTTCCTGGAACAGAACATGACATCTCCAGGGATGTTTTGAATGGAGTTTGAGTTGTAGCCTGGAAAATACCCGTGGGTGTGTCAGAGATGAAAATCTTCAACTGCAGGAACACAAGCTAAAATCCCACAAGGGTTAAGAGGATAGAAACTTCTTCCCAGAATTACACACACATCCAGTTTACACTGAAATTTAAAAGGACAGCAACAATTTCTTACACATCTTTTTTTCCAAGTTCAAAACAACTTTGAGAAGGAGCAGAATAAGTATCATTCAAATTCTCCGTTGCTGTTTAATATTCAGACTGGAGGGGAAAAAAGATTATCCCCAATAAAATATTTTGTGATAATAAGGAAAATTGCTCGAAGGATCCACTGAGATTGCGTTTTAGTTGTGGGGTGGGGGCCTTTTAGGGAGGGGGTTTACACAATACTAAAAGCAGACAAACACAAGGGGGCAGGAAGAGCTCAGCTCTGGCTTCAAACCCGGCCCGCTGAACCGGGGCCGAAACTATTTCAGTTAGCCTCCGGATATTTATCAATTCTCTCGGCATGCAGAGAAATGTGATGCTGACACGTTGGTTTAGTTTGTATTTTGTCTAATTACTGCGCAGAGAACAGGGGCGTCTCTAATGACAGCTGCCCTAACAGCGGCGGCTTTGGGACTGCCCGGGGCTACATTCCCTAGAATTTACTCTTTGGTGCTAGTCTAGTGATTATGATCAGACTGCATTTCTCACGCACTCCAAATGCCCTTCTTTCCTTTTACTCTGTGAACTCTGGATGCAAAGGAGGGGCTTCTGGAAAACTCACCAATCCGTGGACTGTGCCCGCTGTAATTTACAAGAGGGCAGCGAGGAGCATGGGGGCTGATGGCTGCAACCTGCTCTAGGTTTGATTTCGAACTCCAGCTGTCCCTTTACAAATACGTATGTCCCAGAGTTTTCTTTGGAAAATGCTCCGGCTTTGGATTCAAACTTAATTTACGCAACAATGTGCTTAATCTTTCTCTCTGGCTTTGCATATTTCCGTGAGAAATGACCATCGTCTGGGCGGGATTTCACCGAAGGGAGGTGGAGGGTTAAACTAGGTGATCTTCCAACTCCAACAGGTCAAGAAGCCAATAAGGCCCATTGGAGTGTTCCGGCTCCTCTGCAGGAATCCCAGACCCGGGAGCCCAGAGCCAAGCGCGACTCAGAGAGCCGTAGCCCCAGGCCGCTGCCCCCCACACTTCCCAGACAACCTGTTGCGCCTTCTCTCTCCTCCCTTCTCCGCAGTTTCCCCGCCTTGGACCCAGGGAACTGATTGACAGAAATCACTACCCAACCCTCGACTCGGGGCCTCCTCCCGGGACCAACGATTGGCCTCCTGGTAGGACTGGAGTAAGGGGGTGCGAGAGGAGAGGTCTGGGGACCTGGGAAGTAGGAGCGGAGCCCTCACTTCTCCCCGGGACCGAGCCGCGGTCCAGGCTGGCTGTGCCCTGAAGGGCTGAACATCGGGCTTCGGCTCTCATCCTTCTACCCCAGTTCGGGCTCCGGGAGGACCCAGCAGGAGGCGTGGGGTTCTTTCTGAAGTTGTTTTCGGTAGCCTGCCGGGCACTTTGTACACTCTCGGACTGACCTGTCGGAGCCGTAACACTCGGACCATGCTCACATCCCGGGCCAGGGGCGTCGCTACCCGAGCGCGCGGAACAGCCAGCTCCCCCAACTTTCAGCCAATACCTGCGCCGCCGCCCGCGCTGCTGCTGCTGCTCCTGTCTCTGGTAAGCCGCATCTCCGCTCAGCCCGCTACCCCTGGCCAAACACTGTTGTCCTCGGGTCTCGCGGGGGCTTCAGGGGTGCCTGCGGAAGAGGCTATTGTGCTGGCGAACCGCGGACTCCGGGTGCCCTTCGGTCGTGAAGTCTGGCTGGACCCGCTGCACGACCTAGTGTTGCAGGTGCAGCCCGGAGACCGCTGTGCGTTGACTGTGCTAGACAATGACGCGCTGGCCCAGCGGCCTGGCCGCCTGAGTCCCAAGCGCTTCCCGTGCGACTTCGGCTCGGGTGAGGTGCGCTACTCGCACCTGGGCGCGCGCAGCCCGTCTCGAGACCGCGTCCGGCTGCAGTTGCGCTATGACTCTCCGGGAGGGGCGATGGTGCTACCTCTGGTCCTGGAAGTGGAAGTGGTGTTCACTCAGCTGGAGGTCGTGACTCGAAACTTACCCCTGGTCGTGGAAGAATTGCTGGGGATCAGCAATGCCCTGGACGCGCGAAGCTTGGAGTTCGCCTACCAGCCCGAGACAGAGGAGTGCCGCGTGGGCATCCTGCCTGGCCTGAGCGAGCTGCCTCGCTATGGGGAACTCCTCCACTACCCGCAGGTTCCGGCAGAAGCCAGAGAGGGCGGCGCCGCCGAGCCTCTCCTGATGGACTGTAGAGCTTTCCAGGAGCTGGGCGTGCGTTACCGCCACACGGCCCCCGGTAGCTCACCCAACAGGGACTGGGTGCCCATGCTAGTGGTGCTGCGTTCGCGAGGGGCTCCTGTGGGCAGCCCTGCTTTAAAACGCGAGCACTTCCAGGTGTTGGTGAGGATCCGCGGAGGGGTGGAGAACACAGCACCCAAGCCCAGTTTTGTGGCCATGATGATGATGGAAGTAGACCAGTTTGTACTGACCGCCCTGACTCCAGACATGCTGGCAGCGGAAGATGCTGAGTCTCCCCCGGATCTCTTGATCTTCAACCTCACCTCTTCCTTCCAGCCTGGCCAGGGCTACTTGGTGAGCACCGATGATCGCAGCCTGCCCCTCTCCTCCTTCACTCAGAGGGATCTGAGTCTCCTGAAGATCGCCTACCAACCCCCCTCTGAAGACTCTGACCAGGAACGTCTCTTCCAGCTGGAGCTAGAGGTAGTGGACCCTGAAGGAGCAGCCTCAGATCCTTTCACCTTCATGGTAGTGGTGAAACCCATGAACACCTTGGCACCGGTAGTCACCCGGAACACTGGTCTGATTCTTTATGAAGGACAGTCTCGGCCACTCACGAGTCCTGCAGGCAGTGGGCCGCAAAACTTGGTCATCAGTGACGAAGACGACCTGGAAGCCGTGCGACTAGAAGTGGTGGCTGGGCTTCGCCACGGGCGCCTTGTCATTCCGGGTGCTTCCAGCGGCAGCTCTGCTCCCAAGACCTTTACAGTGGCCGAGCTGGCAGGTGGCCAGGTCATCTACCAGCACGATGACACAGACGGCTCCCTGAGTGACAACCTGGTGCTCCACATGGTAGATGGAGGAAGCAGGCACCAGGTGCAGTTTCTGTTCCCCATCACCTTAGTACCTGTGGATGACCAGCCACCTGTTCTCAGTGCCAACACGGGGCTGACGCTGTCAGAGGGTGAAACAGTGCCCATCTCGCCCTTAGCTCTGAGTGCCACCGACATGGATTCAGATGACTCTCTTCTGCTTTTTGTGCTAGAGTCACCCTCCTCCACCACAGGGCACCTGATTCTCCGCCAAACTCATCCTCCCCACGAAGAGCAGGAGCTCACCAGGGACCTCTGGAGCAAGCAGGGAGAATATTATGAGCAAAAAGTGACAGAGTGGCAGCAGAAGGACATAACGGAGGGGAGATTGTTCTACCGGCATTCTGGGCCCCATAGTCCTGGGCCAGTCATGGATCAGTTCACCTTTAGAGTCCAGGATAACCATGATCCCCCTAATCAGTCTGGACTACAAAGGTTTGTGATACGAATTCATCCTGTGGATCACCTCCCTCCAGAGCCGGGCAGTGGCTGTCCCCTTCGGATGGTGGTACAGGAATCTCAGCTCACACCACTGAGGAAAAAGTGGCTGCGTTATACCGACCTGGACACAGATGACCGAGAACTTCGATACACAGTGACCCAGCCCCCCACGGACACAGATGAAAACCACTCTCCAGCCCCACTGGGCACACTGGTCCTCACTGACAACCCCTCAGTGGTGGTGACCCATTTTACCCAAGCCCAGATCAATCACCACAAAATTGCTTACAGACCCCCAAGTCAAGAACTGGGAGTGGCTGCGCGAGTGGCTCAGTTCCAGTTCCAGGTGGAGGACCGAGCTGGGAATGTGGCACCTGGCACCTTCACCCTTTACTTGCAGCCTGTGGACAACCGGCCACCTGATGTTCTCAACACTGGCTTCACTGTTCAGGAGAAGGGCCACCATGTTCTGAGTGAAACTGAGTTGCATGTGACTGATGTGGACACTGACATGGCCCACGTCTCTTTCACTCTTGTACAGGCACCCAGACACGGCCTCTTGCAAGTGTCTGGACAGATCCTGCCTGTTGGAGGGCTCTTTTACATAGAGGACATAAAACAGGGCCGGATTTCCTATATTCATAATGGGGATGAGTCCTTGGCTGATAGTTGCTCCTTGGAGGTCAGTGACAGACACCATGTGGTACCCATCACACTCAGAGTGAATGTTCGGCCAGTGGACCGTGTGGTACCTATGCTAAGCTTTCCTACTGGTACTCTAGAATCCTATCTAGATGTTTTAGAAAATGGGGCTACTGAAATCACTGCCAGTGTTATTAAGGGGAATAATGAGTACACTGATGACTTGATGTTAACTTTTCTGTTAGAAGCTCCACCCTTATATGGGGAGATCTTGGTCAATGGAGCTCCGGCAGAGCAGTTCACCCAAAGGCACATCTTGGAAGGTTCTGTTGTCTATGCCCACACCAGTGGTGAGATTGGCTTGTTGCCCAAAGTGGATTCTTTTAACCTGAGTCTGTCAGCTATGTCTCAAGAATGGAGAATCAGTGGCAATACTATCCAGGGTGTCACTGTATGGGTGACCATCCTCCCTGTGGACAGTCAGTCTCCCATAATTTCTGTGGGTGAACAGTTTATAGTATTGGAAGGTGACAAAAGTGTTATTACTTCAACACATATAAGTGCTGAAGATATTGACTCCCTGAATGATGACATCTTGTGCACAATAGTTATTCAGCCCACTTCAGGTTATGTTGAAAACATTTCTCCAGCTCCAGGTTCTGAGAAATCAAGAGCAGGGGTTGCCATAAGTGCCTTCTCTCTGAAAGATCTCAGGCAGAGCCACATTAACTATGTCCAGAGTGTCCATAAAGGGGTGGAACCTGTGGAAGACCGATTTGTATTTCGTTGTTCTGATGGCATCAACTTTTCAGAGAGACAGTTTTTTCCCATTTTAGTCATTCCTGCCAATGATGAACAGCCAGAAATGTTTATGAGGGAATTTATGGTGATGGAAGGCATGAGTCTGGTGATCGATACACCCATTCTCAATGCTGCAGATGCTGACATTCCCCCAGATGATTTAACTTTCACTATTACCCAGTTTCCCACTCATGGTCATATCATGAACCAGCTGATAAATGGCACAGTTTTGGTCGAACGTTTTACCCTGGACCAGATCATAGAGAGTTCTAGTATTATTTATGAGCATGATGACTCTGAGACCCAGGAAGACAGCTTTGTGATTAAACTAACAGATGGCAAGCACTCTGTGGAAAAGATGGCCCTCATTATGGTTATTCCTGTTGATGATGAGACTCCCAGAATGGCCATCAATAATGGACTGGAAATAGAAATTGGGGAAACCAAAATTATCAACAACAAGATATTAATGGCAACGGACTTAGACTCTGAAGACAAATCCTTGGTTTATATTATTCGTTATGGGCCAGACTATGGCATATTACAGAGACGAAAACTGGCAGGTGGCTTTGAAAATATCACACTGGGCATGAATTTTACCCAGGATGAAGTGGACAGAAACTTAATTCAATATGTTCATTATGGGCAAGAGGGCATTCGGGACTTAATTAAATTTGATGTGACTGATGGACTAAATCCCCTCATAGATCGTTACTTTTACATATCCATTGGGAGCATTGACATTGTCTTCCCTGATGTCATAAGCAAGGGAGTGTCATTGAAAGAAGGTGGGAAAGTCACTCTCACAACAGACCTACTAAGCACTAGTGACTTGAACAGTCCTGATGAAAATTTAGTTTTTACTATCACCAGGGCTCCCACAAGAGGTCACTTAGAGTGCACAGATCAAACTGGAGTATCCATCACATCTTTCACTCAGCTCCAACTAGCTGGCAACAAAATCTACTATATCCACACTGCAGAAGATGAGGTGAAAATGGACAGTTTTGAGTTCCAAGTCACTGATGGTCGTAACCCTGTCTTCCGAACATTTCGAATTTCCATTAGTGATGTGGACAACAAAAAACCAGTGGTCACCATCCATAATTTGGTGGTCAGCGAAAGTGAAAGCAAGCTGATCACTCCCTTTGAACTCACTGTTGAAGACAGAGATACCCCTGACAAACTCCTGAAATTCACTGTTACCCAGATGCCAGTTCATGGACATCTTCTCTTCAACAATACCAGACCTGTTATGGTTTTTACCAAGCAAGACTTGAATGAAAACTTAATCAGCTACAAACATGATGGCACAGAGTCAACTGAAGACAGCTTCTCCTTCACGGTGACAGATGGCACACACACTGACTTCTATGTTTTCCCTGATACAGTATTTGAAACAAGGAGACCCCAGGTGATGAAGATCCAGGTCTTAGCTGTTGATAATAATGCCCCTCAAATTGCAGTGAATAAAGGGGCCTCTACGCTTCGCACTCTGGCCACTGGCCACTTGGGTTTCATGATCACAAGCAAAATATTGAAAGTGGAGGACAGAGATAGCTTGCACTTTTCTCTTCGGTTTGTTGTGACGGAAGCTCCTCAACATGGGTATCTTCTGAACCTGGGCAAAGGAAACCACAGTATCTCTCAGTTTACCCAAGGTATGTTTCACTTTTATTTTCCTATAATCCAAGGCCATTCCAGATCTTATTTCCTGAGTATACAGCTGTCACTGAAAGCCTTATGTAGTGTTAGAGCCCAAGAGAAGTGAAGGGAATGGAACAAGAGGAAAAGGAGAAATAGACTTACTTTCCTGGGAAGCAGCTACTTTTTTTGCTACATATTTTGCTGCAGTGACAGCCATTGGAGGGAGCCTCAGTGTACATAGATCATATTTTGATAGTGGCCAGATATGCTGCCAAAGGAGGAGCAAGACTCTGGCAAATTAACACAGAGGCAGACCTGCCAACTCTGCTACATTTTGCAGACCTTTTCCCTGAGCAACCTTTGTTTTGTATGCTACACCTACTTCGTAATGCTTTCACAGTACCTTAAAGAGAGAGAAATTGTCTAAATTTTATTTATTTACATTGTTATCAATTAGGGTTAGAAATTTCTTTTATGTTACTTTGACTAATTTTAAGTTCACTGTGCTGCTACTGCTGTGGTTCTTAGGAACTGGATAAGTAAAAGAAAATATTTATTGAAATTTACTTTAAGATTTAAAAATCTTTAATACTATTTCATATTGTGGGCAAACACTTGTCCAAAGACATAAGAGATAAACATCTATTTACATGCCATATGTGTATATATGTGTGTGTGTGTGTGTGTGTGTGTGTGTGTGTGTGTGTGTGTTACATAATGTAGAGTATGCTACGGGGTACTCACAAAAAGGAATATACTTGATGATGAATAGGAAAATAATATGTTTATCACCAAACTATATACAAATTTCAACACGAGGAACCTGAAGATACATAAACAAGGTTCATAGAAGCAGAAACAGATAATTTCATCATTTTAAAACTTCTCTCTGCCCTGTTACAAACTCAGTAACAGGTGACAGTTTTCTTCAGCACCTGTGTTTTGAGGCAACCAAGCTTTTCTAACCTCACTTTCCCTTGAGGGCAAACAGCCTGAGACAGGAAGGGCAAGTGACCTATGCAAAATTACTCAGTGAGGGAAGCAAGAAGCCCATTCAGTTTACTGGCTTGGGAGTTAGGGCTCTGTTCTCAAGAATATGCAACTTTCATTCCAAAGGGATTTGTGTTGCTTTCCTGAAAAACTCCCCACGTCAGAATGGAAACTGAATCTACCCTATGTGGACTGTGTGGATAGAGATGGAGTTAACCCCAGGCCAACCCAGTGGAGGTGTTCTTTTCCCGCAACAGTGTTATCTTAGCACATAACAAATGCTTTAGGAAACATGGATGTAGCAAAGTGTAGTGTTAAAGTGAACTGCTTCACTGTGAGATGCTGGCAAAGAGCCTCACACTCCAGCCTCCTAATTCTTGGCTGTAAGCCCAAATATATCCTAGGGACAGAAAACATCAGAGTGCCAAGTGTCAGCCAGACCAGCAGGAAACTTTTGTGTGAAGGCTTTCTGGGGCTAGTGGTACCATGCAATCTTACACTGGTTTATTTTTGTACAAAGCAAAGAGAATGAAAAGAATATATTAGAGGATAGAAAATGGCACTTCAAATCCTTCTTCTGAAAAGAAATTTGTTTTTAGAGGGTTTTTTTTTTAAAAATTTTTCAGTGAAGACAAGCAAATCATTTAAATTCTATGAACCAAGTCCAACAACTCAAAATATACTACAGAACTCTAAAATTATTCTATTTCTTTAAAGACAGTCATATTTTTCACTGATTTGGGTTTATCATAATGAATTCTTATGGTTTTTATAAGTGTAGTTATAAGTTTATTATAAAATTAATACTTTTTAATTGTTGCATTCCGATACAAACTCAAATATTGACTGGGAAAACTGTTGGTATTTGATCACACAGCTCTCCTTTTGAACAAGCTGAGGCTGGAGTTTGGTGCCCAGCAGTTATTTATGAAGATTAGATAAGTGATTAAAAACGGAGAAGGCTCCCTCAGGGAGCTGCGTGGCTGCTATTCCAGCAGGAGAAATGAAAATAACCCTTAGAGTGAGGACTGTGCAATCTTTTACTTGTTTTTGCTTTATTATGAATGGATGAACTAACATATATTTTGATGAATTTTTCACTGCACTGTATTAAGTCAATTTAGCAAACATACCTAGAGCTCACTTTTTTCAGATTATTGGTTTCTAGCAGAAAAAAATTAACTTATTTGCAAAACTTATTAAAGTTGATTTTAGGAAAGGTAACAATACAGAGCTTGATGAATTAGGGAAATTCTTAATATATTTCAAACTTCACCTCTCTGTCAAGGTGTCTCTGCCCCTCCCCCACCGTGGGTCTAAATCACTTGTGTCATGCACCTGGATTATTATTTCTCTACAATAAATGCATATTTTGGGGGGATAATTTACATATCACTTTCAGAAAAGCAGAAATATCCCCAAAGAGTTTAAACAGAGTATGGTTACTGGCATATTAATGAACTTAAAATCCTTTTAAAGAATAGTTTCTCTGGTGTGAATAAACTATAATGGCACATAAGATCATAATGATATAATGCACAATATGAAATAGGAAGGGGCTAATGGTGTAGGGAAAGTGGGAAGGGTAGGGAAAGCTAATAAGGGGAAAAAATGAGAAAATGAAAAAATGGAAATGAAGTGTTTGTAAATGGAGAGGGGAGGAGGGGAGAAGGGAGGGCAGGGACAAGGGGAAAAATGAGAACCAAGACCTGTCATGTAAAGGTACAAGATTCCAATGATGAATGTAACCGTACTATAATCCTAAAATGCACCAATAAACTCAATGAGGAAAAAAAAAAGAATGACTGTGTAGATAAAAGGAAATAAATGTAGTCTCATGTTTAACAATTGGAAGAAAATCTAGTTAATTCCTATGTATTTACTTAAGACATACAGATATGTCCAAAAAATCATATTTTTTTCAGCTTTGAGTTTATTGGTACATTGTAGGGACACAGTACAGTTACATTCATTGTTGGATCTTGTACCTCTACATGACAAGTCTTGGTTCTCATTTTTTTCCCCTTGTCCCTGCCCTCCTTTCACCCCCTCCTCCCCTCCCCATCTACAAACACTTTATTTCCATCTTTTCATTATCTCACATTTTTTTCTTTTCCCTTGTAGTACATTATAATTAAATTCATCCTGGGGATTTGTTACATGTACATAACACATCTTAATTCTGTTTTTGTATCCCCTTTGTTTCTCTCTCTCTCCCCCACCCTTCCATCTCTTGGTATTTTTCCTTTTACACACGTTCTATCTCCCTGTTTCCTATTACCTATCTTTTATTTTGCTCTTTAATTTATTTATACTTTAGGTTTTTCATAAAGAGAACCCGTTTCTTTTTTAACCATGAATTAATATTAACAAACATAAGGAAAATAAAAAGGGTTTTACTATGTTTCAACTAATGAATATCATGTCCCCGAATTTGGAGAGGAAATGTAACACTTGAGTGTTGTGTAATTACATTCAGGTTTTCTCTGACTTATGAAAGAAAGTTCTTACAAATCAGTTTTGAGGCCATAAATTATTTCAATAAAATGTGTCCTAAATATTTCATTTCTACTTTAGAAAATGTTGGGAATATTAAACAGGTTTTTCTTACTTCTTAGTGAAATTTTTAGATTTTCTTACATCTTAAGAAAGGGTGAGAGCGTTGGACAAGAGTCTTTTACACTTGGCCCGAGGTCATCAAACCTAAGGCGAGGTGGGAATGTACAGTCAGCAGGGTTTGCTTTGTCACTTACTGACAAAGGGTTGAGTCAGGAGAATAAACAATCAAAGAGTTGTGCCGGTGTTTTCATTCCTTACCCCTGCAAAATCCATGCATCTGAGGGTAGAGGTGCCAGGGTGGTCTTACCAGACCATGCAGCCCTTCATTTCCTCATAAGAAACATTTGAGCTTATACTGCTCATAAGGCTTTGAGAAAAGAAATGTGAGGAGTCAAGGATAAAAAAAGAGGAAATTTTCAATCTCCTTGGAAGATACTTGTACAGAAAGATAAAAAATGATGCCAGAAACTATGGGAAATTATAGTAGAGAAAAGTGAAGTTTTAGATAAGAAAAAAACATCTTGGACTTATTTCACTTCCAAGTACCTCTATTTTTAAAAAGGCACTATTAAATAGAAAGTCAGATTTTCCCTTCCCCGGGCACTCCTGATTTTAAGTCACCTTTCAAAGTGAGGCTAGGGCATACGCTTCACATCTATAAAGGGGAACGATAGAAATTCATGGAATAATTTGTTGATCCTAATACTTGCCTCACTTTAGATGATTCTTTCAGGGCCACTGTCTTATATATAACTGCTTTGACCAGCATAGCTTCAGCAGAGCTCTCAAGGTATTTTTTAAAACCACAAAATACACTGAGATAAGTAAATATCACATACCGTGTTGAAGCTATTCTTAGCTGTGATCTGATTTTCTATAACCCTAGCAGCTCACTGATAGGCCCAGATCAAATGCAGTAATGATTTGTTGGGTGTATTACAGAACAAAATTATTATTGTTGTATTATGGTGTCTGTAAGAAGGGAAGCGGTGAAATAGATTAATAAATTTTATAATTTGTATCTAGTAGTGAAAACAAATTCATGCAAGCAAATTTGATAGAGTAGGAAGTAACATGACTATCATTTCTGAGACAGGATAACCTTCTACTAGGAATACAGTTTTCCATTTTCATTAGTTTTTTTTTTGTTGTTGTCGTCGTTGTTTTAAATTCTTCCCATATTAAGTCATAATAGTTATTTTAATCTGTGGGATTAAAAAAAAATCCTTGATTTTTCCTTTCAATTTCTGGAGAATTTAAAAAGAGACTGCTACAGTAAAAAAGGTAAGAAAAGTGAACCACTTTGGGGAGGCATAGCCTCTTTCCTCTGAGGCCCAGTCCTACAGGGAGGGAAAGGATGTGATTTCAAGAGAGCCAGGAAATCTGCCATGCCCCAAAATATCTTCCTTTCCACCTGTCATGGTGTCTGACATTCCATATTTAGGGAGTCATTCCTTTGGTGCATGAACATGCAAATGCCACTGGGAGGGGCAACACCTTGGTATTATTATAACCTCAGTCTTGTACTCTGTTTATCTGTGTAAGGGATAGGATTTCTCTGGGACAGCTGAAATAGAGGGGCTTAGATATCTGAGAAATAAGATAGCACTGTTCTCCTTAGAAGGAGATTTAAATAGGCTTACAGAAAAATAATACCCAGTAGAATGTTCCATAAGAAACAAGTCACCAATTTTGCTATAGTAACTAATCTTGTTTTGTGATTATTTTCTAGGGGACATTGATGACATGAAAATATGCTATGTCTTAAAAGAGGGGGCCAATGCCACAAGTGATATGTTCTATTTTACAGTTGAAGATGGTGGTGAGTATTCTACTCTCCTGGTAATGGGATACAGGAGAGAGACATTTCTTGGTTGCTCTTTGACACTTTTATAAGGAATCTTCATCAAGTATTTTTTTATGCTTATCTGAATATATGCAAAGAGGAATTTGACATTTGTTATAGAGAACTCTATGGTTCCAATGTGACACAGACTTACTCTGTAACAACCATAGATAAATATTCTAGTTATTTTGTGTTTTATGATTTGTAAGCATGAAACGGACACATCTGTGCAAATAAGATTGTCAAATCCAGTTGTTCAGATTACGACCTGCATCAGGTTGACTGCTTGAGATGTCAGAGGATGTGGGATTTGGCCCAGCTCTGTACACAGCCATGTGCTCACCTGGGTGTGTCTGCCCAGCAAGCTACCTTTTTCTCATTTGTAAATGGCTGTTGGTGTGAACTAATGCTGATGGATAAGGTGTTGAACTCATCAAGAACTCAATGCTAAATGAAGGTCTGTTTTCTCTTGTCCGTCTCAAGATGTCAAATGATTTTCTTAGTTTGGAGGATTATGAGTTTTAGTCTCGCTACAAGTTTTCCTTGGTAGAGTCTGAAAAATACTGTAGAAAGTGGAATCTGACTTTCCATCTAAGTCTCCTTCCCAATAGTGTTGACATTATTCCCCCCGCAAATGACCGCAAGTTCCCCATGGCTCTTATTCTGAACACTGTAGACTAAGAGGAACCCTGGCCACTTCTGGGTTGATTATAAAGATGATTTTGTTCTTGTGTGCTCTCAAGGGAAGCAAAACAGCCTTACCATCTACTTACATTGTGTGAAAGGACACAGAAAACGAGGCACACATGTGAGAGAAAAGGGAGAAAACAAAAGGTTCAGACTCAATTATCTGTTTCCTCAGGATATCTTTCTTTTAAGAAATGGCACTCTATTATGTCATTCATTTCAAAAAGACTCCATCTTTATCCTCTGCATTCAATGAAGCATTTAGCATTTATTTAAAATATCACTGGACATAACATGATCAACTATTTGTTTCCTACCAAAAATCAGAGGCTCCCTACAGCTGAGATCTTCACCTTGAAAGTAATTAAATTATAGTTTATAAAATGGAGTACTACTCATCCATAAAGAATAAGAAACTAGAGACATTTATAGCTAAATGGATGCAAATTGAGGCTTTAGTCAAGTGAAATAGATAGGACACACATGTGTAAATATCGAAGTTTCTTTGGTGTGAGAAACTGAAGGTGTAAATAAAGATCAAAATGTATAATACATAATGTGAAATAGGAAGAAAAGGTCCAGAGGGGAAGGGGGAAGTGGCAGGGGTAAGGAAAGAAGAGAAAAGAATAAATACATGAAATTGAAAATTGGAAACAAAGTCTTTATAAATAGGGAGGTGTGCAGGGAAGGCAGGGGAATAGGGAAAAAACTAAGAACCAAGATATATCATTGTAAATTTCCAATGATGAATGTCATCATATTGTATACCTAAAATGTACCAGTAAAGTTAATGAATAAAAAAAATCAAAACCATACTTTAGAATTTTGTAGAATTATAAAAGGAATCCTTGCAAGGAATCTAAGAATGAAATCAACTTTTTAAAAATCCATTTGTTCAATCTTGGTACACAAGGGGAAATTCTATTTAAATGAAGCACAGAATAAGATCCCGAAGTTGTCAGCTATTGGTTCAAAACACCAGGTTTGTCTAATAGAATGTCTGAACAAACCTCAATAGCAAAAAAAATTTCAAGTTTACTAAACAAATTCTAATTCTGATGGCTACTATTTTCTAAAATATTAAAGACTATATGTTTTAGATTTTATTTTTTCCCATCTATCTATCCATCCATCCAAACCAACAGTACACTACTATTCTGCCATTCTTCACATTCTTACTTGGGTAGTTTGGTGATAGTTACTTTACATTTTTGGTCTGCATTCAAAAGTGGTAAAATTTAATATAGTATCATATTTCAAAATATTAAGTGGGGAATGACTAGCTGAACAGGTCTGGCTTATTTGTGGAAGTTCCAAAAACGTGGTGGAGCCTATAAAGATTGTCTCTGTCTTTGTGGAAACAGGAATGAAAGCATATCAGGAGCTTTCTGAGAGCTTGAGTTTCATGTGGAGAGAAAAATTCCAGAGATACTCTTCTTTATCCTCTTCTCTACAGCACAGCATTGCTACAGGGCTCATGCAGACTCTGGCAAACTGCTATGAAACAGAATCTATGATATAATAATAAACACAGAAACCTGCAAACATTTCCCTTTGAAAGAATAAACACAGAAACCTGCAAGATTGAGGAAAAAAAGACATATGTATCTGAAATTTGATATACCCTAATTCCTTTGGGGGGGCATTTTTGCATTATATTATAAATAGTCCAGCATTTAGGTGAGAAATTCAATGCCATTTTAGAGTATTAGCAGTAGTGACTTATTGTCATTTACCTCACATGGTGATAGTCAATATATGCTGAAATCATCCCTGATGTATCTCTTCAAGTTGCACAACCATCAAGATTGTTTCCCCAAACAGTGATAACTGATAACTTCTTGTTTAAGAGTGGTATACAACTCTTGAATTACTCTGGGTTCCCCAGACTAAGTTTTTAAGAATGCTTGATAAGAATGAAATTAGAATAAGGTCCGCAGGCAAAGGATACTGAAATTGTGTCTTCTGGATTGTCTATTTTTACTTTAAAGTACTTTAAAGGCCATACTTTCCTCAACTTTGTACTACTGTCCTTGGAATCAGATTGTAATTCTGAAGATGATTATTTAGCTAGAATGTCAATGAAGTGTGTGTAAATGTTATGTCAGAATAGTCCATCTGTCCATGCATTCCGAGGCCAACAGACATATGTGAGCATATAGGTATAATCTATAAAGTCAAACTCTGAAGCTTGGGACTGAATTTCAGGTATCTACCTAAGGAGCTCGTGTATATAAGTTCAGGGGCAGTCACTTGTGGATTTAGATAACGTGTCTTCCATTTCTTTTTTGTTTCACCTTTTGTATCTTCATGTGGGTAGTTCACCATATAATAATACTGCAGATGTGGGAAATACAATCCTGTGTGATGATTGCCTCTTTGAACTCTAACTCTGGATGGAGTACTCTGCAATTTTGTTGGAAGAAAGAAAACATTTATTTGTTTATCCCCTTTAGAGTTGAACATATTCTTATCTGCATTCAACTCTATAGCTTTTCTGTAAAGTACTCTAACATGAAAGTGCTCTTCTGGCTACTTTGAAGTTTTCTCTCCAAGGAGCTCCTGTAATGCTTTGCTGAGATGTGAGAGCTAGGCTGACAGAGCTTCCCCAGGTATGTCCCACTCTCAACCCTGAAGCCGCTTAATCACTCCTCACGCCCCAGCTCAAATGTCATTTCCTCTCTAAATTGCTTCCTATCCTGATAAGGAAGTCAGCCATACCCTTCTCTGTGCTCCTACTCCTAAATTTATTTACATCAAGAATGTCATATTGGGCCAGGGATTTAGCTCAGAGGTTCGGTGGCCTGCCTTGCAAGCGCAAGGACCCGAGTTCAATCCCTTGTACAAAAAAAAAAAAAAATTAAAAAAAAAAAAAATTAAAAAAAAAAAAAATTAAAAAAAAAAAAAATTAAAAAAAAAAAAAATTAAAAAAAAAAAAAATTAAAAAAAAAAAAAATTAAAAAAAAAAAAAATTAAAAAAAAAAAAAATTAAAAAAAAAAAAAATTAAAAAAAAAAAAAATTAAAAAAAAAAAAAATTAAAAAAAAAAAAAATTAAAAAAAAAAAAAATTAAAAAAAAAAAAAATTAAAAAAAAAAAAAATTAAAAAAAAAAAAAAAGATTAAAAAAAAAAAGAATGTCATATTATGAATACCTATTGATGTAAAGACTTCCATTAGTAGGAAAGGAACTCCTTCACCATCAAAAGGATGTCATTAATCTATATACCTCAGTGCTTACTCAAGGTAGAACACATGGCAAGGACTTAGCAAGTATTAAAAGGTCTGAAGGAATAATTATAAGGAAAAAACCTCCTTTTGGGTGTGTGTGGGTGCTCAGGACTGAACCCAGGGCCTTCGCACTAAACCTTATCTTCAGCCCTTTCTTTTATGTTTTATTTTGAGACAGGCACTCTCTAAATTGCAGAATTGCTCAGGCTGGTCTTGTGCTTACAATCCTTCTTCCTCAGCCCCCCCAGAGGACTAGGATTACAGGCATATACCGCCCCACCTGGCGTTCATTTTTACATAAGGATTAATTAAATCATATTCTAAGAGAAGTTTCTATAAATAATTTTAGACCCCTTGAATTTCTTTAGAACATTCTCTTATCCTAGCTTTAGTTTAAATCCCTGTGGCACCAAGAAAGATTTTTAGTAAAGCATTGGTATTTATAAATACATGGAGCTAACTGCTCTAAAAATTCCTTTGAAATATTTAGTGAAATATACTTAAGATTGAAAAGATTCACAGTAAACACGAGTGTTCAGCCCATATTATTCTTAAAGAATTCTTTTCAGGAAAAAAGTTGTCAGTATTTTACATAAACAGTTATATGATTTAAAATTTAAATACGAAGAACATTTATGTAACTTACTGAAATCTTGAAGCCACAACCACTACCACTAGTATTTTAAAATTTTGTTATGCCCAGTTTTTTCTCCTATGATATGAGACATTAAGATAGATAAATAGAAAGCTATATTAGCTTAAATCATTCTCAGCCCTTTTTAAAGAGTATTATGTAAACTTCCATTGGTTTTGTAAAAGTCTCAGGTAGGTCCTCAGCACTTGATCCAAGATGTACATTTGTGTGTATATGTGTGGATTTGTATGTGTGTGTGTGTGTGTGTGTGTTTCTGCAGGTTGAACCCAGGCCCACATGGATGTTAGGCAAGCATTCTATCCCTGAATTCTGTCCTTCATTCCAGTGTGTTTCCTGATGGGCAGAAGGAAGAGTTGGGTTATGTGATTATCTGGATTGATACATGGAGTAATAAAAGCCTTTTTTC